TTCATTGGGTTTCAGTTCTTTCAATCACTGAGACTCAGCATCACATGTGGGCATTACGCCCACTCCTCCAGACTATCAAGGCTTTTTTATATCTGCATAACTCCTCCCAAGAGCCGGACCATCAGGCCTGAGGGCTCTTGAGTGGAGTACTATGTACAGCACCCTGCCGGCTCCTCCCACCAGCCATGATCTGTCTGCATTGTATAGGGAAGCACAGAGTTGTGTTTTTATAGCTTCCTGAAATCCAGCTTTAGTTCTTCCACTCTCATAGTGTTTAGACAGTGCAGGAACACTTTGAGGCAGATGCTGCACCCAGAGAACCCCTTTTATTCTGTAAACGGATGTACACTGATCTCACCTTCTCTCTCTCATCTCTAAGGCCTTTTATTCTGCTATTGTGGATTTATGTGACAACGGAGGAAAGAGACCCATGTCTTCCATCAACATCGGATTTAGTAAAGAGCAGGCGGACTCTATACGCCGCATCCGGAACAGCAAAGACAGCTGGGACATGCTGGGGGTGAAGCCGGGCGCCACCAGGTAACATATTCAGGATGCCTGCCATGTCCACTTCCTGTGTATAGATTGGGCCTAGTATAGGGGCGTCAACCCGGCTTTATAGATGTAACAGCATCCAGTCTTTTGGGAAGACTTTCCACAAGATTTCGGAGAGCGTCCGTGAAAATTCGTGCTCATTTGTGAGGTCAGGTGCTGATGTTGGATGAGAAGACCCGGCTCACAATTGGTGTTCCAATTCATCCCCAGAGGTGTCCTGTAGGGTTGTGGTCAGAGCTCTGTGCAGGACACTCGAGTTCCTCCACCAAGCTGCTCACACCATGTCTTTATGGAGCCGGATTTGTACACAGGGGACAGTCATGGGGGAACAGAAAAGGGTCTTCACCAAACTTCACAATTGTCTACAATGTCTTTGCATTAGGGATGCACAGATGCCGGTTTTTCGATATCGAGTACGAGTACCAATATTTTTTTTTCCGGTACTCGCAGACCCCGAATACCGATACCGGAAGTCCCATTAAGGAAGCCAGGCGGCGTGTAATGACTTCCTGTCCAGATTCCTGATTAGCAGGGAAGCCGTCACCATGCTCCCTTCTCACCAGGTGATGAGGAAGCATGGAGCCAGCTTTCTGGCCAATCAGGAAGCCGAGGGAAGGTAATGACTCGCCGCCAGGCTTCCTGATTGGCCGGGCAGCCGGCTCCATGCTCCCTCAACACCGGGTGACGAAGGAGCCTGAAGCCGGCTTTCTGGCCAATCGGGAAGCTGGTGGTTGAGTAATGACTCGGCGTCCGGCTTCCTGATTGGCCAGTTTCCCGACCAATCAGGAAACTAGGCGGCGAGTCATTACACGCTGCCCGGCTTCCTGATTGGCCGGGAAGCCGGCTCCATACTCGCCCAAATACTCGGTATCAGCACCGATACTAGTATCGATATTGGTGCATCCCTACTTTGCATGCTGTAATAGTAACTATACCCTTCAATGAAAACACCTGATCATTTCTAGACATGTCCACATACATCTGGTCATATAGTAGGTGCCAGAGGCGTAACTAGAAACCACAGGGCCCGGGTGCAAGAAACCAGGAAGGGTCCCCCGCTGCAGAGCTGTAGTCCCAGGAGGCAATGTCGGTGCTGAGCCCTCTCCCCCCAAGTAGCAGAACACCAGTGCCTGTGACCCTGGGGTATAACAATGAAGGCATGCTGGGACTTGCAGTTCAACTACAAACCAGCATGCCCTCATTGCCCATGTACACCTCTCTACATCACCCAGAGAACTACATGTCCCAGCATGCCCTTATGGTCTTTGTACACCTCCCCCCCACATAAATCACCCAGGGAAGTACAAGTTCCAGCATCCATGCCCCCTGCAGTAGTTCTCTGCATGATATGTGAGAGTTGTACAGGGACAGTGAGCGCATGCTGGGACTTGTGGTTCCCTGTATGATAGAAGGTTGTTTTAATTACTTGCCTCATGAAAGTACTAGTAATACAATGCCATTATAGTACAGTAACTTTTGAATTCAACTCGATTCTATGTTTCTATATTGGCTTTGTATTACTAGGACTTTCATGAGGACGGTAATTAAAACAGCCTTCTATCATACAGGGAACTACAAGTCCCAGCTGAACTGCCGACTTGTAGTTTCCTAGTAGTACAATGACATTATAGAACACGGAATAGAATGTAGTCAGTTTCAGCCATATTCTATTCCATGTTCTATAGCTTGAGCAGGGTGCTGTAAAAAAACATACCAGCGTGGGGGACAGCGGCCGGGAACATGGAGGCGGGTCTCTGTATCAGGTGGCTGCTGCTGGGTCCTTGCAGCTGAGGCCTCTGTGCTGCCCCAGTATTTGCCTGCATTTTTGGCTAGTTGTTTTCTCTGCCCGGCCCGTCCGCTGGTCACTGCCTGGCGGCCGAGGCAGCCGCACCATCGGCCCCCCGTTTGTTATACTACTGCCTCCTTCCTGAGCCCCCCCCCCAAGTGGCGGAACGCCAGGACCCGGTCGCATATGCGACCCTGGTAGTTCCACCACTGGTAGGTCCGATGGTCAGGTGTCTACAAAATTTTACCCATATAATGTTTTGAAGAATACAAGAGGAGTGGGCGGAAGCGCGGAGAATTCCAGCTAGACAGGAAAATAGCCGGGTAGATGTCAATGTATATAGAAAGCCTCGGCATTGACTCCACCTCTACCGGCATCACCATTGAGTTCTCCACCCATTAAAAAGCATTCAGTTCCTTCTCTTGGCACCATCTCATTCCTCGCTATGTTGTGTTCCCTATAAAGTGAAAAGTTTTGTATCAGGACTAATTTTTTTTTTTTTTGCAGGGATGAAGTGAACAAAGCGTATCGCAAGCTGGCTGTGCTCCTTCACCCGGACAAGTGTGTCGCCCCAGGAAGTGAAGACGCCTTCAAGGCCCTTGTGAACGCTCGTACGGCTTTGCTGAAGAACATCAAGTAGAGCCACGTTCCTGTTCTGACCCCCAGAGGCATCAATGTAAAAATAAGGCGGTCGCCTCGAGGCTCCTCCCCTTGAGGATCATCCCTACCGGATGATCGTACCCCACTTGGTGAGCTGTACAACACTGGCTGGTTTTCTTACAGTTTTTATGGCATGCAGACACTATCTGGACCTCCTCCACCGACACACGCCAAGTGTGTGGATTATGCACATGGGGAGTCCACTTCCCTTCCTTTCATTTCATGTGGTTGAAGCACAATCATCGGGGTCACTCGTTGTGTTCATTATTGCTTTTATGCTTTTGTTGTATTTGCCAAATGAAAACCATTTTCAGGATTATAGGGTCATCTTCAGCTGGACCTGTTCTGTACCGTTGAAGGAGTTTTGCAATTCATACAAGTCGCTCTCTCAGTGCTAAAGGGCCGGCACTGCACAGCCTTCCGACATCTAAGGCCCCATTCACACTGAGCGACATGAAAATTGCACGATTTTCCGCGGGATTTTATATGTGCGATATTGCGCGACTTTCCTATTGGGCTGTATGCAATCAGAAGCAAAATCGCTCGAAATCCGCAGGAAAAAGGGTCATGTAGGAGCGACAAGCTACAGCGACGAGCTACAAGCGATATTGGGCGGCGAGATGTGAACAGCTCCATTGAAATGTATTGGAGAAGCTACATAGAGCGATATCGCGTGGAAATATGAGCGATATCGCTGCGATAAATTGCGCGATAAATCGCTCATTGTTGAATGGGGCCTTAAGGAAAAAGGACGTTTTTTGGGGGGACAGTGAAGTGCACATTTTGGACAGAGAGGACGATTGGTTCACAAGAGACATGAAAGAGGCCATCTATGCCCGTGGTTCTCAACTGGTTGGTCGTGACCCAAAAGTGGATCGCGACCCCGTGTTTAGTGGGTCGCCGCATGCCTTCCACTGTGCTAGGTATGAGGCTCCTCAGCCTCCCCCTAGCGCAGCACTGTCAGTTCTCGCACAGAACAGTTATTCAAAATACGCTGCCCCGGTGCCGACTGTCAGCTTGAGGTGGGGTGGGCTGGAGGTATGGCAGCGAGGGAGCTCCCTCTATACATGCTCACTTGCATGCCCTGTAGAGGTGCCTGGCAGTTGCGTCACAAGGGGGGTGCGGCCCGCACCCGGGTGCCACCATTGGAGGGGTGACAGCAAAATGACTCACCGAACGCCCGACAGTATGAGGAGAGAGGAGGGGACCCGGCGGCATACCTTATCCCACCGGGTGACTGTCCCCTCCTCTCTCTGCCGGCGTCCATCACCAAGATGGCCGCCTGCAGGTATAAGAATACTGCCGCGCGTGCGCAATGACGTCATCGCGCACGCGCGTGGTGACGTCATGCGCAGTGACGTCTCGGCGGGGTGACACTCGGTTACCGCTCCGGGTGTCACCCAGCCTCGGGACGACACTGGTGCCTGGACCCGAGTAATGTCGCATACTGGCTCCCGGCACGTTTACAGGGTGCGCAAGGGAGCTGTGGAAGCAATGCACATATGGATGGAGCTCCATCACAGCACAGCTGCCCACACTGGACACCGGGCTGAGGATCCTCTCCAATTCTCGTAAGGTAGGGAGACTGGGTGGATCCTAAAAAAAAAAAGTGTGATTAACGCACCACGCAATCGCACCTACCGCAACGGTCTGGTGCAGGAAGTGCGTTGCCATTTTTATTTGAATGACACCTCCCACCCACAATTCCATCACCCACACCAGATCACGTGGTACCGCATTGCCGTGCGTTCCAGTGCGGTGCGACTTGGGTCGCGACTTAATGACCGAGGAGGAATGTGGGTCTTGAGGTTGCATAGATTGAGAACCACTGCTCTACGCCATAGTGGAACAACCATCCCTGAACAGGGGTGAGGGCCATCAACACCTTCTGTCCTCCACTTTTGAAGCCGTTTTACCAGCTCTGTCCTGACAATAATGATAGCGATCCACACCTGGTGAGTCGGATGATTAACACGTTTCAGACTTCATGACACCATGAGGATTACGGTATTGGAACAGGGCGGTTTCACAAACTTCCACACCTCCCCTCTTGCTCTTGGACATCTGCCTACTCCATGGTGATTGGGTGAAGGTGACGGAGTTGCCTGTGTTGCTGTCAATGCTGACGTATGTTCCCGGAACGCACTAGAACTGGACATGCGGCTTGGATAAGCAGTGAAAGCGTTTTCAGCATTACAGAACAAGTCCAGTTGAAGGTGACTAGTACTAACCGGTGGCCACAAAATTGGATCCCCAATATACAGCTTCTCCGGCGGTGCCACCAAAGACCGGCTGCAGCAGAGATCCGAGAGCGTAGATGGAGATGGATTGGACATATCTTACGAAAGAGCGCAAAATGAAATCTGTAGACAGCCGCTCGATTGAAATCCCCAAAGACGGTGCAGGAGAGGCGGACCCCGAGGTTCCTGGCGGAGGAGACTATGTGATGATATCAAGGCTGCGGACGTGAACCTGACCCGGCTGCAGGTCAAATCAAAGGCTGGGGACCAGCGACAGGGGAAGTCTTTCACTTCGGTAGTAGTAGTAACTTTGAGGTAAAACAACACAAACGTCACATAGACAGTTTATGGTCCAATTGTCCCAAACATTTCAGTTTTGGAAACTTTGACCTTTTAAAAAGCCAAGTGATCATTGGACACGGGAGTAAGAGGGGATGTCTGGAAAGCAAACGTTTTGGTGGAGTAGGGACAGGTTAGAACCTTCGTCAGGTTCCTATTGTGGTATGAGTCCTCTGAGGAAGAAGTCCTCGCCTAGTCTCCTCTAGGTCTGGTAGGACCCCTCACAGCCTCTCTCTCCCCCCCTCTCTCTCTCTCTCCTCTCCCTCCCCCCCTCTTCTCTCTCCCCATCTGTCACTGGCACACCCGCCACTGTCAGAATACAATCGAAGGGGCGGGGCTTCCCTCATCCAAGCTAATTGGGCTGGATGTAGAAAAAAACAACAACAACGTAACATGTATGGGCGTCTTAAGTGAGCAAAACGAATCTTTTAGCACCGAGTATCCGGCAATTATAAGGTACAGATCCATTATGAAGCCCCCGAATGGCGGAATGCTCTCACTCTCATTCATCCTTGTTTTGTGGGTGTCGGGTTTTCAATTTTGAGGCACGTTGATAAATAAGCCCGACCATGAACCGTTCTGTTCTGTGCCGCGTGTTTGTTTATCACCACGAGCCATTTCATTTACTAATCCACTTTAATGAACTCCCATCAAGGACAGATCGATGAATCCCCTTTATCATCCGTTACATGCGGTTCATCTTTTCCATTGTAGCTGTTTTTTTGTATTGTTACTTTGTATATTTTGTGTTTTTTATTCCGCATAAAGTATTTCCGTTTCATGTGAAGACTTTCGTGTCTTGCTTTTGTTGTTTTTAATAAGGAAGGGATCGGTGATCCTCGGGCCTGGCCTGGTTCTTCAGTCGCCGCAGCGCAGGAAGTCTTATCGTGTATGCAAACGTAAACATTGTAAATCTGACATAAACACACAAGGCACCATTAATAAACCTCGGATTCCACTCTCTGGGGGAAAACATAAAGCAAATACCAGCAGTATGGTGGTCACGTGACCGCTCGAGCTCGCTTCTCTCTGTTGGCACAGAGAGCTGGGGGGGGCGAAGACTGTAAAAGACGCTTGGCGGGCAGGGGTGCTGTCAGTCTAATAGAATGGCAAAAAAAGGAGAGCGCCCACTCCATGTGAAGGATCGTTGAATATTTTGCTTTTAAAAAATGGTAATGTACCCGCAAGAGAAAAGTGACCCAAGCGTATTCAATGGTTCCCCTCACAGGAGGCTATCGCCCATCAGAAGCAAAACAAACGACAAACGCACTCAACAATTTGTCACCAGTTATACAGTAAGGTGCACACGAAATGGGCTTTGAACAGTAGAACAGTAGAAAGGCATCATGGCACACTCACAAACCAGCATGTAAAACAACTTGTCTCACCACTAAGGACAATGAGAGAGGTTTGGATACATGTGTAGAGTTAGGACCGCACTATAAGAGGGGCCTTGGCGCGGCAGTGCGGCTTACACATCCTTTGCAGAAGACGTGTAGCCAAACCTCTGTCATTGTCCTTAGTGGTGAGACAAGTTGTTTTACATGCTGGTTTGTGAGTGCGCCATGATGCCTTTCTACTGTTCTACTGTTCTATCGCCCATCAGAAGCCACAGCGCAGCCAAGCCAGCTCACACCCAAAGTCGTCTTCCAGCAGCGAGTGGCAGGGTTAACGCGTTTCTGGGGCACGCCCCCTTCCTCAGAACCCTGACCACTCCAAGCTCTTTAAGCCAGACCATCGGCTCGTCATCAGATTTCAACCAATCGGAGATGTTCAAACCCGAGCTAATCAAAAGGACTTAATTAAACTAAAACAGCCGCAAGATCGGGGGACATTTTTTAGCCGATATGGCACAATCTGTAATCCACATGATTTCAGTATTCGTCCTTAATAGAGCCTGGAGTGGCCTACGCACAAAACAACATTAACCTCCCTGGCGGTAATCCCGAGTGTGGCTCGGGGGTTCATTTTCATTACCAAAAGCGGCAACCCTGAGCCACACTTGGGATACATCCGCCCGATGCATCGTGCCGGCATCTGTCTTCCGTCCCTTGCGAGCGCCTGCGTCGCAGGGGGGCGGAACCAACGGGAAATTTTAAAGTAAAAAAACAGAACAAAAAAGGGGGAAAAAAATGGAAATAAATCAGACCGCCAGGGAGGTTAAAATCCATATAGAAATCCACAACCTTATTTAAAAACATCCATTCAACATAATATATGCGCATAATCCATGCCTATAAAAAAATATGGTACAGTAAGATATTTAATGGTTCATAAAATTGCATAGACACATAAATTATCAATATATATATATATATAAATAAATATAAACATACACACATATACACTGAGTGGCCGGATTATTATATACACTGAGTGGCCGGATTATTATATACACTGAGTGGCCGGATTATTATATACACTGAGTGGCCGGATTATTATATACACAATGCCAAGATGAATCGCCGCAGTATTGAAGGCAAAAGGTGGCCCAACAAAGTACTGATGGGGTGGTCATAATAATCTGGCCACTCAGTGTATATATAAAACAGATGGCTGCAATAGCCATAAATCAATTCTCATCCTTTACTTTGGACCTTTTGTGCTGTCAGTCTAATTGGGGGACGGGAGGGTAAGGGTTGTTGCGAGACAGCTGTAATCTGACTTCAAAACTCCAGGCACACCACGCCACTCCACACGTTGGCACGGCATCTTGCATCATCCAAGTGAGAAGAAGAGGGGCAAAATGACTCTTATTTTGCCCCTCTTCTTCTCACTTGGGTGATGCAAGATGCCGTGCCAACGTGTGGAGTGGTGTGGTGTGCCTAGAGTTTTGAAGTCAGATTACAGCTTAGATTGGGACAGAGGTGCTTTCTTGCCTACCGTGGTCAGTAACAGGAGGAAGTGGTTTCCTGAGGAGACTGACACCATCACCAGCTATTCTATGATTGCTGCACATAGACATTGCAGCTAGTGATTGGGGATTAAAGGGAGCAAACAAATATCAGTACGAATGATTTAAAGTTACCGTGAGTCTAATATGAACCTTAAGCGTGATGATCCAGTTATCCCGTCTCCTCAAAATGACATCATATTACCCACAATACACTGCTTCTCAAGCCACAGGAAATCAAGAGTGGGCTTTCATTGTAAGGGTCTGATCACAATCTAGATCACCGGCATTCGTGAGATGAAATAAATCCAAATGTTCTTTTTTATTAAAGAAGCCTGTCACAGCGGCCAACGTTTCGGAACCACACAGGGTCCCTTCATCAGTGCAGACCTGTGTGGTCCCGAAACGTTGGACGCTGTGACATGCTTCTTTAATAAAAATAACATTTGGCAGTGGCGTCACAAGGGGGGTGCGGCCCGCACCCGGGTGACACCATTGGAGGGGTGACCCCAAAATGACTCACAGTCATCTTGGTGTCCCCCCCCCTCTGAAAAGTCGGGCGCTCGGTCATGGACCAAACGCCCGACAGTATCAGGAGAGAGGAGGGGACCCGGCGGCATACCTCATCCCGCCGAGTGACTGTCCCCTCCTCTCTGACCCCATCCAAGATGGCCGCCGGCAGGTATCAGAATACTGCCGCGCATGCGCGATGACGTCTCGGCGGGGTGACACTCGGTTACCGCTCCGGGTGTCACCCAGCATCGGGACGCCCCTGACATTTGGATTTATTTCATCTCACGAGTGCCGGTGATCTTCATTGTTATCTACTGTTGTAGGCACAGCACCATCAGTGGACATCACTACGAGCACCACCGTTACTTCAAGGTCTTTTGATGCTGTAAGGTGTGCAGGGGACATCTTTGTTTTCATCATTTTTTTGATTGTAACGGGGTACAGACGCAAGAAAGCAAGAGCCGACTTTCATTATAAGGGGGTACAGACGCCAGAAATTAAGAATTACAGTATTTGTAAAGAACCGGTAGAGACGAGGAGAACCATCAAATGTCAGCAATAGTATCCCCCTTCCATACTGCCTCTGTATAAATACATTGGGGGGGAATTTATCAAAACCGGAGCAGACAAAATCTGGAGCAGCTGTGCACTGCAACCAATTAGCTTCTCTGTCTCATTTTTAAATCTTAACTGAACACACGGAAGAAAGATGCTGATTGGTTGCCGTGCACAGCTGCTCCAGATTCTGTCTGCTCCAGTTTTGATACCCCCCACACTTTAGATTCCCCCTCCCTTTTTCGATTGCAAGCCCTCAGGGGCAGGGCCCTCCTTACCATCTAGTCTTGAATTGTATTGTGATGTAAAGCGCTGTGCAAACTGTTGGCGCTATATAAATCCTGTATAATAATAATAATAATATCCATTGGCTGTGAAACAGGAGTATTCTGACTCCGATTGTTGTGATAGCGATTTATCCCTTGTGAGACCTCTATGCCTGGCCTGTATAAGCAGATTTAATCACTGAGGACATTCATTGTCAGATAGCTGAACTCACCAATACCGTTTCATCCACAAAGGTTGCTTTATTCTGCACATCAGACAACAGGATACAGCAGATGGATGGTTTTCAGTATTATGCGGTCAAAAGATGATGCCTTTCCTAGGGTACTATGCAGAGTACATGTGTCCTAGTTACATGTGGCCTGTTAGCTGTGGCCATGACACAGGAAATACTGACCAACAAGAAGAAGGGTGGGGCTTACATACAGAGGAAAAACACTATATAAATTCTATCTAACATTAAACTTCTATTGGGGCGGCACAAGGAGTGACTTTGTGTCAGATAAATGAAGAATCAGAACACATTTTAGGAGCACTTTGTGCAGAAATTGGACGCAGTTACTAAGGATTCACAAACTTTTTATCACAGCTGTATTGCTGTCCTGAGCGATTTCTTACTATTTGCACGCACACATGATGATAAAATCTGAAATTTTGGGCTAGAAACCAGCTCCAGACCCCCCACACAGTGATATATTTTCTGAAAGCAGAGGCCTCTTTACCATAAAAAGATGCTAGTTGCAGGGGCGTAACTAGAAATCACAGGGCCCCATAGCAAAATTTTGTATGGGGCCCCATGATTTCTACTTATACCCCTTGCAGAGCCCACTCGAGATCCCACCTGAGGGTGACCCTGCAGAGCACACCATAGACTATCTATGGTGGGCTCTGCAGGATCACCCTCAGGTGGGCTGGTCGCACTCCTTACCTCCTCCGTCGCCGGGCCCGCCTCCATCTTCGTCACCAAGGCCGCCTCCTCCCCTGCTGCCGAGCACGGGCCCGCCTCCTCCTCCACTGCCGGTGACGTCAGAGGCTCGCGACGTTGATAGAACACAGGGTCCAGCCTGCTCCCCAGCCGCTGCTGGCTCTCATTGACTGTGGAGACGAACGCTGCGTTCACAGCGGCGTGTTCGTCTTCAGACGCCAGTGAAAGCCAGCAGCAGAACATCCCATAGCGACACAGGCGGCCCGCACGGCATCTGGCCGGGCCCCACTGTGCCCCGGGCCCCATAGCGACCGCCTGGGTCGCTATGGTGATTGTTACACCACTGGCTAGTTGTAATGTTTTATGTCGCACGGTATTTGCGCAAATGTTTATGAAACCAGTATTTTTAGGATAAAATACACTAAACTGAAATTTAGTGCACAGAAACAGAATATAATACCCAATTCTTTGGGAAAAAAATTATAAAAGTCGGGGTCACGCCGGGTAAATAGATATCAAACATGTCAAGCCTTAAAATTGCGTGCGTCCATGAAACCGCAAAAAAACGAAGTATTGTGATGTAAAGCGCTGTGCAAACTGTTGGCGCTATATAAATCCTGTATAATAATAATAATAATATCCATTGGCTGTGAAACAGGAGTATTCTGACTCCGATTGTTGTGATAGCGATTTATCCCTTGTGAGACCTCTATGCCTGGCCTGTATAAGCAGATTTAATCACTGAGGACATTCATTGTCAGATAGCTGAACTCACCAATACCGTTTCATCCACAAAGGTTGCTTTATTCTGCACATCAGACAACAGGATACAGCAGATGGATGGTTTTCAGTATTATGCGGTCAAAAGATGATGCCTTTCCTAGGGTACTATGCAGAGTACATGTGTCCTAGTTACATGTGGCCTGTTAGCTGTGGCCATGACACAGGAAATACTGACCAACAAGAAGAAGGGTGGGGCTTACATACAGAGGAAAAACACTATATAAATTCTATCTAACATTAAACTTCTATTGGGGCGGCACAAGGAGTGACTTTGTGTCAGATAAATGAAGAATCAGAACACATTTTAGGAGCACTTTGTGCAGAAATTGGACGCAGTTACTAAGGATTCACAAACTTTTTATCACAGCTGTATTGCTGTCCTGAGCGATTTCTTACTATTTGCACGCACACATGATGATAAAATCTGAAATTTTGGGCTAGAAACCAGCTCCAGACCCCCCACACAGTGATATATTTTCTGAAAGCAGAGGCCTCTTTACCATAAAAAGATGCTAGTTGCAGGGGCGTAACTAGAAATCACAGGGCCCCATAGCAAAATTTTGTATGGGGCCCCATGATTTCTACTTATACCCCTTGCAGAGCCCACTCGAGATCCCACCTGAGGGTGACCCTGCAGAGCACACCATAGACTATCTATGGTGGGCTCTGCAGGATCACCCTCAGGTGGGCTGGTCGCACTCCTTACCTCCTCCGTCGCCGGGCCCGCCTCCATCTTCGTCACCAAGGCCGCCTCCTCCCCTGCTGCCGAGCACGGGCCCGCCTCCTCCTCCACTGCCGGTGACGTCAGAGGCTCGCGACGTTGATAGAACACAGGGTCCAGCCTGCTCCCCAGCCGCTGCTGGCTCTCATTGACTGTGGAGACGAACGCTGCGTTCACAGCGGCGTGTTCGTCTTCAGACGCCAGTGAAAGCCAGCAGCAGAACATCCCATAGCGACACAGGCGGCCCGCACGGCATCTGGCCGGGCCCCACTGTGCCCCGGGCCCCATAGCGACCGCCTGGGTCGCTATGGTGATTGTTACACCACTGGCTAGTTGTAATGTTTTATGTCGCACGGTATTTGCGCAAATGTTTATGAAACCAGTATTTTTAGGATAAAATACACTAAACTGAAATTTAGTGCACAGAAACAGAATATAATACCCAATTCTTTGGGAAAAAAATTATAAAAGTCGGGGTCACGCCGGGTAAATAGATATCAAACATGTCAAGCCTTAAAATTGCGTGCGTCCATGAAACCGCAAAAAAACGACAATACCCCCAAATTTCCCATAGGCGACGCTTTAAAAGCTTTTACTGTTCATCAGTTCAGTGTTACCAGCGATTAATGGCCTAAGATTTATTACTCCGACGCGCGCAGCGATATGTTACGTGCAGCACAATTTTTTGTTTTTGCATGCAGGCGCGTCCGACGCGTGTTTGCATTTTTGTGTGCGTGTACATGGGGAAGGGGGGGACTTTAAAAAAAGTTTGCATTTTTTTTACATTTTTATTTTTTACACTCAGCTTTATTGCTCTCACATAGGGGGAGCTAACAAGCCCCTATGTAATAGCAAATATGATGTGACTGTCCCTCTTTATGGAGACACCAGGGGTATTTCAGACCCCTGTCACCTAGGGACCCCAAAAGAAGCTGATGAAGACAGAGATCTGCTTTACCAGCTTCATCTTCTGGCTCTAAGAGCCGGAGAATGTGCCCAGTAACACAGGAAGTGATGTAATACACATCACTTCCAGGGTCCAGTGATCGGAGGAGAGATCAGGAGCTAGAAGCTTGCTGGTCTCCCTCCAATCGATGCCGGGGGAGACCTGTCGTGCCAGTTCCAGGCCCGCACGGTAGACAAAGGTGCCCAGTAGGAAAAGGGAGGGGGGGTCACACAGTGCCGCTCGGTACAAATTCGCTTGTACCTGAACAGAAATCGCTGGTGTTCTATCGAAAGCTCCAACTCGTCAAAATCTCCAACTACCTCACTGCCGGGTATTATTATTATTATACAGGATTTATAGAGCGCCAACAGTGTGCGCAGCACTTTACAATATAGGGAAGACATTACAATCACAATACAAAACAAGACAAGATGGTAAGGAGGGCCCTGCCCCCTGAGGGCTTACAATCTAAAAGGGAGGGGGAAGTGATACATGAGGGTACTTGCAAGTTGGCGATTTCGACCAGCCGGCGTTAGACTGCAAAACACATAGACTAACGGAGCTTCTGTACAGCTGCAGTTTAACAATATTCAGCAGGAGGCAAACTCGATGAGTATTCCGAAAACGTTGTGCGCGCATGTAGGATAGGTGCAGTATGGCCAACGGCCACTAGATGCCCCCATGGGGCCCCGGAGATACCGTGTTTCCCCGAAAGTAAGACCTAGTGCTATCATCAGGGATTTCTGTAAAAGCTCTGGCCTGGGGACACTCTGTGTCCCAGGAGAGCTGATTTATAGGGGTGCCCGAGAGGGGAAGACAGATCAGAACAGAACAGGAGAACAGAAGTCTAAGACTGTATGCAGAGTCTCTGGAGGGAGACTGATTCTTATACATAGGCTGGTCCATGGGAAGGACAGGACCAGGCCTAGGACTATGTAGAACTACAGAGATTCCCTAGTTTCCCCTGGAGGGGGGAAACCACCGTGCTAGGACTGACAAGGATGGGATTCCGAAGAATAGTGAAGTGCTGCAAGACTGACAATATTTGCCAGTGGGCCCAGGCCCGGATTTCCCACAAGGCCACCGAGGCCCAGCCTTGGGGGGCGGCAGAGCGTAGAGTGGCGGCAGCGGTGACCTTGTGGGGAAGTTGCGGGCGCCGGTGTAAGGTGTCCCGGCGGCGGACCGTAGTGTGCGGCTATAATAAAGTTAGGTGGAGAAAAAAAAAATACATTGATTTAAAAACATTTTTTTAATAAAAATGTAAAAAAAATAATATTAAATAAAAAAATAAAAAGGTGATTAAAAAGTTAAAAATAAGAAAATAATTATAAAAAATAAACAATAATAAGATAAAACCTATAAAAAAAATAAAAAGGTGATTAAAAAGTTAAAAATAAGAAAATAATTATAAAAAATAAACAATAATAAGATAAAACCTATAAAAAAAGTAAAAAGGATAAATAAAAATCTAAAAAAAATTAAATTGATAAAAAAATAATGAAATAAATACAAATTAAAAAAAAAATAAGAAGAAATAATTGAATAAAAATAAATAAAAAGTGATAAAAATAAAGAAGCAGTAAAAAAAACGCCCCAAGGCCATCTGGTTGCCGTTCTCAATTGATGGGGGGAGGGGGGCGTATTGTGGAACCCGGCCTTGGGGTGGCAGGGAGAGTAAATCCGGCCCTGAGTGGGCCTCTAGCCCAGTCATCCCACTCGGGGGTGGCTGAAATGTATGTTTATTGTCATGTTCATCCTTTCAAGTAAAACCAAGAAAAGACTATCTGTGTGGACTGGTTCTTCTCCCTCCAACCTCTGAGAAGGTGGGGTCCTACCGGAGTGTGATGTTGGACTGTATCGTGGCTGTAACCATTTGAGGAGGGTATGTGTGCAAAGGGGCTATGCCTGACACAGGGTGCCCTTCATGGTGGCCTTTCTTCCTAAGGGGGAGGAAGCGGCAAAGACCGCAGAGGCGGTGGAAGCCATGAGGGCCCTCTGTGCGCAGTACTACACGTGTGGGAGTTGTTAGCACGAGGCCAGAGCCGAGGCCCCTGAGCGTGGGGTGCCTGGTGTCGTGTTGCATGCACGGGGTTACACAGAGCCAACCCAAAGTGAACACACACGCAACACCACAAGAGTGAACCCCGCCTACATGCATGCGCACACCGCAACTGTACAGAGCTTCAGTCTTTCGGAGCACCGGAAGTGAGGTAGTTGGAGATCTCGATGAGTTGGAGCTTTCGATAGAACCAACGGCTGCAGCAGCTGTGTTCTTGGTATAACCCCCTTCAGGCGGAGGACGTACATACACATGTAACCACCTGAAGTGTTTAAAGGAGAACTATGAGGGGAGTGATTTCCCCTCACCTCGTAGTTCTAGCCGACCTGTGACAATGAGAATGTCACAGGTCGGCTCAGTAGATCGGGAGGTGAGCGAACACATACCGGATTCGCTCACCTCTCGATCCTGTCACAACTTTCTGCCATGACAGGGGGAGGGGCTGGATTCCCCCCTCTCCGCTCCGATCTGCCAGCGCTGACTGGCGGAACGGACGGGGCGGGTACAGCTGGCTCTGCCTCTAGATAGGCAGAGCCCGCTGTCACTCACGCTGCTGGGCGGATCTCGAGGTCGGGATCCGCTCCAGCGTCTCAGTATACCGCGAGCTGTAGCTCCCTATATACTGAGCTTTGGGTGACGGGAGGACGCTAGTTTGTGTTCTCCCATTACCCTGAGGAGAACTATGGGGAAAAACACTGACCCCATAGTTCTCCTTTAATGAAGGCGTTACAAGTTCTTTTATGTGCAGTAAAGGTCTCAATGAACCAAAGGCCATCGTTTGCTGAATGAATGAAGAGGCAAGCCGGTGACAGAGTGTCTGATAGGTCGCACGTACCTTTCCTATTCCATGGAAATTCGAGGAATGCCGAAACTAATCAGCGAGTTATATTGCTTTACATCTGTAAACAGCATCAGTATCAGCTTGTCACTCACCACGGTGCAGAATGGTCACTGAATGCACCCGGGGACCACAAGCAACGTCTATTGCTTCTACGTACAGCTAGGAGATCAGGTGACCTGTTCGTACAGAGGCCATTTCAAAACTGTCATCACCGAGAAACCCGTTCGTGTAATAGAACCGGCCACATTGTTCACCCGCCTGGCAAACTGCGAACAGCTCGCCTGCGAAGCTTCCCATTCATCCGGGTCATGATATATCTGGAAGAAAAAAAAATAAAAATCGAGGCAACTGGACTCGCTGTATTGTTCTTGAAGGCGTTTCACCACAGTGCAATGGTGAATGGTCATTGAATGCACCGGGGACCACAAGCAACAGACCAGTAGCATGTGGACCACAGCCATAAGCACCAGGCACCCCACGCTCAGGGGCCTCGGCTCTGGCCTCGTGCTAACAACTCCCACACGTGTAGTACTGCGCACACAGGGCCCTTATGGCTTCCACCGCCTCTGCGTTATTCGGCGCTTCCTCCCCCTTAGGAAGAAGGCCACCATGAAGGGCACCCTATGTCGGGCATAGCCCCTTTGCACACCTACCCTCTTCCGGATGGTTACATGGGGCCGGATTTACTCTCCCTGTCGCCCCAAGGCCAGGTTCCACAATAAAATACGATCTCTAAGGAACGATTCCACACTCTCAAGCCGAAATCACAGCATGTGGCAGCGAGTTCCAGACCCTGACTGATCTGAGAAGAACCCCCTGCGCCCCTTGTGCTGACATTTTTTCTCCACCAATTTTAGGTGGTGGCCTCTCGTCCTTGTCATGGAGTTAATTGTAAAAAGTTTTCTGCTGATCCCCGGTAAACGTTTTGTACATGAAAATCATGTCCCCCCTTAATCTCCTCACTTCCAATGAGAACATGTTTAGATTTAGTCGCCTGTTCTCATAGCTCAGGTCCTCCATCCCCTTTATGAGTTTGGTTGCCTCCGCTGGACTCTTTCTATTCACTGGTGCCCAAAACTGGACCGCTTACTCCAGATGAGGCCGAACCAGTGATCTATAAAGTGTCAGAATTAGGGACTCGTCCCTGCTGAACATTCCCCTCTTAATACAGGACAGGACCCTGCTAGCTTTGTTTACCGCATCCTGACTCTGCGTGCTATTATTTAGTCTGTGGTCTACAATGACCCCCCAAATCTGTTTCCCTTTCTGACTTCACCAGCGGAGCTCCCATTAATGTGTAATCCGCTTTCTTATTTTTAACCCCGAAGTGCACAACTTTACAATTATCTACATTAAACCTCATCTAGTTGCCCACTCCAAAATAACCATCAATGGCCCTCGGTCTGGAGCACCATGCAACATTTCGCCTCATGGGGTGAGGATGATCATGAGAAAAGTCAGGGATCAGCCCAGAACTACACAGGGGGGAGGAGCTTGTGAATGATCTCAAGGCAGTTGTGACCACAGTCACCAAACAAACCATTGGTAACACAATACGCCGCCATGGATTGAGATCCTGCAGTGCCCGCAAGGTCCCCCTCCTCAAGAAGACGCATGTGCAGGCCCGTCTGAAGTCTGCCAATGAACATCTAAATGATTCAGAGAAGGATTGGGAGAAAGTGCTGCGGTCAGATGAGACCGAAATTCAGCTCTTTGGTATTGACTCGACTCGCCGTGTTTGGAGGAAGAACAATGGTGACTATGACCCGAAGAACACCGTCCCTACAGTCCAGCCCGGAGGGGGAAACATTATGCTTTATGTTTCAAAGCTAAAGGTTCAGGCCGACTTTGCCACATTGAGGGGCCAATGGACGGGGCCACGTATTGTAAAATCTTGGATGAGAACCTCCTTCCCTCAGTCGGAACACTGAAGATCGGGTCTTTCAGCATGACAAAGACCCAAAACATACCGCCAAGGCAACAAAGCAGTGGCTGAAGACGAAGCACATTATGGTCATGGGGTGGCCCAGCCAGTCTCCAGACCTGCATCCTATAGAACATTTATGGGAGGAGCTGAAAGTTCGAGTTGCCGAGCAACAGCCAAGAAACCTGAAGGATTTAGATGTGTGCAACACTGGCAACCAACCCCAAGAAACGTCTCACCTCTGTGCTCCCCAACAAGGGTTCCCCCAGGAACGTCTCACCTCTGTGCTCCCCAACAAAGGTTCCCCCAGGAAACGTCTCACCTCTGTGCTCCCCAACAAAGGTTCCCCCAGGAAACGTCTCCCCTCCGTGCTCCCCAACAAGGCTTCCACCCGGAAACGTCTCGCCTCCGTGCTCCCCAACAAGTACCTAGTACTAAGTCATGTCATGCTTGGGGATCAAATACTTATTATACTCACTGAACTGCAACTCAATTGCATCATGTGTTTTTTCTGGATCTTTGGTTGATATTCTGTCTCTATCATTTAAAATACACCGATGATAAAAATTATAGACCTTTCATTTCTGTGTAAGTGGGCAAACTTACACAATCTGCAGGGGAGCAAATCATTATTTCCCTCACTGTATCAGTATATGTTGACTGTAAAACAAAAACAGTCAACATAGCAAAAAGAAACAAAAAAAACAAATGACAGTTGCTTGTGATACAAGGTGCTTTATAGCAAACCAACTGTCATTCATTCAAGCTTTATGTCTACCTAAGACCCCGTTCACATTGAGCGATTTATCGCGCGGTAATTCCCGCGATATCGCGGCAAATTACCGCGCGATATCGCGCTCCAATGCAATCCAATGGGGCAAAGGGTCCTGCTGTAGCGGGTCGTGTGTCGCTACAGCAGGACCCTTTTTTGAGCGGATTTTGCCGCGATTCAAGCTTGCTCAATGCAAGCTTGAACGCGACATCGCGCGGCAAATCTCGCGATGTCGAGCAATATGCAAATCGCGCGACAAACGCGCGATTTGCATATCGCGCAGTGGGAACGGGACCTAACTCTGCCCTTCGATGGGCAGACACAGATAAACACCGAGTTGCCAGATTATTATATACACTGAGTGGCCAGATTATTATATACACTGAGTGGCCAGATTATTATATACACTGAGTGGCCGAATTATTATATACACTGAGTGGCCGAATTATTATATACACTGAGTGGCCGGATTATTATATACACTGAGTGGCCGGATTATTATATACACCGAGTGGCCGGATTATTATATACACTGAGTGGCCAGATTATTATGACCACCTGACGTTTGTAGGCAAATTAGCTATAATTTCGCGCTGAAGTTGCTAGAGGGCCAGACCATTATAAATAGGGAAGCAGGTTGTTTACCACGACAGTAGAAGTGATTTTTTTCTGAAGATATGGGTAAACAACGCGATTTAACAGCCTTTGAACGTGGGATGATTGTTGGCGCTCGGAGCCATGGAGCGAGTATCAGCAAAACAGCAGAATTCGTTAAATGTTCAAGAGCAGCTGTTGTTAAAGTGTTTAAAGACCGGACTGTCAGCCGAAAATCTGGGTCTGAACGTGCGAATTGTGGCCGTCAGCGACTAGTCAATGTTAGGGCAGAACGGGGGAGGGGCAAGACTGGTACAAGACAACAGAAGGGCAACAGTGCCGTGTCAGATTCCTCGCATCACCTTTCATCATCTCGTGGAGTCACCAGGCGGCCCAACCAAGTACTGATGGGGGAGGGGGGGGTTCATAATAATCTGGCCACTCAGTGTATAAGTTTATATTGACAATTCTGTCCCTTTTAGCACTCTGGACCTGGGACTGTCCGGAAAATACAGGCAACTGGCACCCATGGCTTTCTCCAAAGGCATTCCCACTTATGTCCAGCAGGTGGCAGCCTTGGCCCTTGCAGGCTCTTATCCCTATCACAATGCACAAGGCTGGAAGGAACAGG